AGGGGGCCGTTTGAGGGCGCACTACATGATGCGCCCCTCGCCTTCGACGTCTGACACGTGGCAAATGGTATAGGATGTAGCGTTGCCGCCAGCAAGCCCTATTTGCTCGTGAACAGGTCGCGGGGATCCTACTGAAGTCGACCACCCCCTCACTAAGCAAACGGCTACAGCGGCCGCACCGCCGCAACACATATCCACCCACTCAGCTGGCACCGCGCACAAAATTGTGAAGGCCGCCCTGGCCGTACTTTGCCCGACCCTCTTCCCCCCACGGCAACCGCAGCGGCTATTTAGTTTCGGTGTCGCGGGGGGTTCGAGGTGCGCTAAATGGCTCCATCGCCTGCGGGTGCAGCCCATTCGGCAGCCTGTGTTTCGGCCTCCCAGAGAAGCTTCCAGACGCGCGCTCCAGTGGCAGGGGGGCACCGGGCGGAGGGGGGGCGGGGAATACGGGCGCCCGCGGGAGGACCGGTGCCTCATGCGACGCACTGCGGAAGCGTATGGGCGTGGCGCACGGTGAAAGTCCCGCCCGGGCCAGTTCGGCTGCGCCCCGGACCAGCGCCCTATGGAACTAGTTTGCGTTGGCCGGGAAGAGGGGGGTGGGGAACTCGCGTCGAGGTTTTCTCGGCAAGAGGCGCGACGTCCGCACTGTTTCTCCATCCTTGCCGCGGAGCGAACACCAGACAACGATGCCGGCGGATTTTACAAGGAGGGTTTCAAGGTGGGGAGAGGCGCCGTGGTTTGGAAGCGGCGTGGGTGAGGCGGCGCTGGGGCACATTTTATTCTGCTGTGGGCCCCTTGCGGCCCGGCGTGCGAAATTTGGCTTTGAGGGGGTTTGAGGTGCCTGCGCTTCACTTTGGTCAGCCACTGGCTCGGTTGTTTTGCAACCCGTTCGGTCTCCGCGCCCACTGATTTGCCCACAGCCGGCGGCGACATAGAAGATGGTGGCGCTGGCCTGCTGAAGGCGGAGCGCCTTTAGTTTGTTGCTTTGATCGTTTGTCTTGTTTTGCTTCGGCTTCTTCCGCGCCCTCGTTTCTGGCGCGCTGTACCCTAAAAACACCAAATCGCAATTTCTCCCCCACCACCACCACTTTTCGAAGGGGAGGCAGCCGAGGCGAGAGAGTTCGGTTTCAGCCCTTACCTCCGCCCAGGAAGGGGAAGACGACGCAACTGAACCCCGGGAAGGGCGATGGAGCCGCGCACCAAAGCGACGCAACGCCAGCTGCCACCCACGACGGAGGAAAAAGGCAGCACCCACAGCCACCTCCGCCAGTTCACTTCCACAGCCGCGGTAAATAATTGCACCGCACCGCATCCAACACGAGACACCCAAACGCGAACACCCGCCCCGCTGGCCACGCACAAGCAGGGCGCACCCATGGCGGCAACCGCAAACAAGAGGAACCGCTCACTCCGTGCCACGCCGTTGTAGCTGATGGGGCCGCGCCTCAAGACAACACCCCCACACGCAGCGCCCTGCACTCGCAACGAAAAAGAGGGAGCCGCTGTGCGCACTTACGCCTGCACCGTGTCCCTCTTCTTCCCACCACCATGGAAGGAGGCAGCAGCCACACGCGGCACTGCCACCACTGACCACGAAGAAATCATTCACTTGCACCGCAGTAAATAAGTCCCGCGTGTGTGCGTGTAGCTGCGGGCACGCACTAAAAGGAGGAAAGAAATAGCAAAGCACGTAGGGGCAACACACAAACACAGCAGAGATGCAGGACGGAAATAATATGCGAAAAGTATGGTGAGGCTTGGGAATGAACTGCAGCCCAGGCAGTTGTGAACCACTGGAAATTTGATGAAAATAAAAAAATAATTAAACAAAGTAAAATAAAATAAAACGTCTTTGTCTTTAGCGACGATTCTAAACACACACGCACACACACGGAGATAGAGAGAAGAACAAAAAAAAAAGAACAACACGTCTTTTTCCCCTTCCAAATTGTCAATCTCAGGCACCCCAAAAACGTGCAGACACATTTTTGCCTGCAGGAAAGAAGACATATACGCATTCGTTTCAACCGTTTACACGCCCCTGGTGTCCGCATATCGTTTATATTCCAGTGGGGCACGCGGTGTGCCGCTGTAATTCCCATTTCACTTTTCATATAGGCGCCATTGGCGGTGCACGCAATGCCAAAAGAGCGCATGAACCCCGAGACGGAAGCGGCAAAACGGCCCCGTCATTTTCAGAAAAGCACAAAATA